TGACCACCCACACATCCTACCCCCAATGCCCCTCTGCAGAAACACGAGGGAGACACGATTTAATTAAGCTTAAACATGCTGATCTAGAGAGACGGACGGCTCTCAGTAGAAGCCTCCACCGCCTGTGGAATATTCCATGACCAAAGCAAACACCCAAAGAAAGATAAAGACTGCTGCCAGTGGATGCTGGGATGTCACAGCCTTAGCTAATGCCCGAGGCCTTTGGTTTTCAAGATTAAAAATAAAAATATAACTGATAAGCACAAATGAGACATGAATAATGAGGCCAGAAGCCAGACACTCTTCATAACGTAACCTGAGAATGACACTCAGTGACGTAGGGTTCGATTTACTGCGCGCCTTCTTGGCCCTCCGGGAAGTGGTACTATTACATCTCATTTTAGTCTTCGGTAACACAGAAAGTAATGCCAGCTCACACGTTAATGACTTGTGTGCTTGGGAGAGAACAAGATTCCATTTAAATGCTAAGTGCAAGGAAATTAAACTACAAGCCCGCACCTCACGCAAGGGAGACGGGCAGGGGCCGTCTTCTCATGCCCTGTGGCTCTTCCATGCCACCACGCCACGTGACCCAGCCACACGCTCTTGTGCCAGGCTGCCCCATGTCCCCACCTGCCCAAAGGACAGGCTGAGCAGGGCCGGTGGGCTGGGAAATCACTTGGGCATGGCTGAAGCCCACGCAGCCCTGCCCCAACAGGCGCACCAAGGACTTTACATGATTTGCAAAGGGGGGGTGGATATCCTACAGAGAAAACAATACAAAGGTTCGTCTACACGCACACACATACACAGATACACACACAGACAGGCTGGCTTTGCTCAGGCCCATGACATTCAAGTGAAGCGAAGTTAAGATTTATAAATTCCTGTAGCGCACTCTGCATGGGTCACAGCGTCTTCAGGAATTTGAAAACAGCACAGACGTTCAAATGGGCGATGACTGTTGAATACCCATCACCTATGACACTGAGTGAAAAAGTCAGATTAATTTGAACAGAAGGATTTTTTTAATCTATCTGAACAAATCTACCTGTACCTCCACCTCATCTCCCGCTTTCAGTGTCTGAGCAGCTCAGTCCATGACAACAGACCCTAGTGTGCAGACCCATGTGCTCCTGCTGCCGAGGGTCCCTGGGACCCTGACTCCAGAGGCCCTGCCCCGTGAGAGCTCTGGTCCTCACATCTGGGCAGCCTTTGCTCCTTATTCTATGACTCAAGGGATGCACTGAAACAGGCCCCTAGGTGTGCTCAGCACAAGAGAACCAAGGGTCACAGAGCA